ATTTTTATAGAAATTGTCCAAAAAAAAACATATATAGTTCAATAAATATAGATATGTACATTACATTTTTACCAGGGACTTTTACCCATAGGTATAGTATCCATTGTTGTATAGATTTTGTAAACAATAATAAATTCTGAATGAATATATTAGATCATAATTGTGTGACAAAAAAGAGGAAAGAGTTGAAGGAAAATCAGTGACGAGCCAAGTATCATCCGCTGCTATGGGTCGATCAGTATATAGTTTGTCATGACGTGTTTGCCATACCAAATAATGTTTGTTGTAAATTGGCGACCTGCGATGTTGGTATTAGGGTGATCCCCACATTTTTGGTACAAAAAATCAATGAGCTTTTTTATATGATCGAGTATTGTCGGTACGTCAGTCTGTTCATGTATGCATTTTGTAGAGTAGTAATGTCGAGTCAGTGGGTCCCCTATTTTGTTGAGTACTAGTCGTAGTGTCTTATTTTGTACTGTCTGTAGTTTATGTAAGTTGGTCTAGTCGTCGCGTTCCATTTTGGAGCAGCATGTCGTTATAGGTCTGATCAGTGTGAGGTAAAGTGCCCGCTTGTTCTTCACGCTCAGCGGGCTGTTATGGTTCAAGAGAGGGCTTAGTAGATTTAACATCCCGTCATAAAACTTTTTTTGGCGATATATATCATGGTCTTATAAAACTTACTGAAATATGACGACCTTACGACAAGTAGTTTAATTTTAAAAATTCATCAGGGTTTGAGAAAATGAGTGTTTTTTTTGACGTTTGGTAAAATTAAATTTAGACTATTTATACTTGGTATAACGATAGAGTACTTGGTCCTACGGAACACTAATGAATGAACATACTAAACTATTAAAGTCCTACGGAAACTGGTTCAATTATAAAAATGATTGATCTGTGAAAAAATTTTAATAATGTATAACAAATTCACTCGGAATACTTTCAATCACTAATAAATTAATTTATATTTTATTGATTACGTCGATTATTTCCACATACCGGGAATTTCATGTAACTTGCCTTAAGACAAAATACCAATGCCAACTAGTTTGAGAACTGATCACGTGTTACGATTGACCAGAATTATATATAATTAAATATGTGTATGTAAAGAAATTTGTATAAACGTCCCTAGTCTTTCCCAACATTTTCTACGTCCATAAATACCTACAACTACCTAAAGATCAGATATGTTATCTAATCCCATCAGATATGATCTCTATTCATGTTCTCGACATCCAAGAATGCAAAAAGGAAAAAAAAGATACTAGAGGACATTCCTGTGCGTAGTTCGATTATTTTATCCTCGTTGCGCAATTCAGGGTTGTAGACTTAATCGAAAAAAACCGCCGTCCGTCACGGTGGAGAGTCGTCTCACTTTGGTCTGACCTTTTGTTAGGCTAGGGATACATGTGGAATATGAACGTATGAGAATACGAACCTCTGATTGACAAATATACTCGTCTTAG